CGCTGGGGGCGCTGCGCAGCGACGGGGCCGGCAGCCTCGCGGGGGCGGGAGGTGCCGCGTTCAGTGACAAGCCAAAAAGAGCATTACATGTTTCACTTGAAGGCAGTTCGGAAAAGACCTATACGATCTCCTTAAAGTGTACGGTGAACCGCCGAAACGAGCAGCAGTTATTTAGTATGTACTGAGAGTATGTTTATAATTCAAGAAATAACACTTCTGCTCGTTTTAGGTGTCTGGAAGCCGTGTATGTAACCAGTATAGAACATCGGGTTCGCTGCCAGAAGAAAAAAAAGAGTTTCTGCAAAATGGACCAGACTTACAGGACTTTGTATCTGGGGATTTGTCAGACAAGAATGCATGGGCTGAGTATAAAGGCAATTTAAAGCGCCAGAAAGGAGAAAGGTAGTTGTCATTTTAAACTACTGTAGTTGCTTCTGTGCAGTATCTTGCATGTTTCGTATTAAGTACATAATGTATACAATGCATTTTTATTAAATTCTGTTGTACTGGCTTGCCAAGTTAATATTTTTTCAAGAAAGAACAAACACAATATTAATTTGAGATAGATAACAAAACACGAACATGTGGTTTTATTTTCTCACTTGAGTACTTGTGCCATGACCTGTATCAAATTATGAGTATACATCAGTAGGTGAGTATACCGTACTTGGGTCTTGAAAAAGGATTTTCAATACAGTAAAACAAATTAATGCAGGCTGAATTAGAAGTGATTAAAACAAAACATGTTTCTGTTTGTTATTTGATCAGACTTTGTGATAGTTGTGTAATTTATACTGCCAATATCTGAAATGCCACTCGTTGGTACCTCTGTTGTGGCACTGTTAAATCCCAACAGTAAACGATTTTACATTTTCTAATGACAAGCTCCTGCTTTTGAATGTTGGCTTGATAATAAATATGGAAGGCAGAAGTCCACTGTGACTATGAACAGCACTAGTAGTCGTTGCTAAGATGTGTCAGTTTTCAAGCAATCCTTCATAGGTGGGATCTGTAACAAGAAAAAGTAGATATATGAAATTAATGGAAGCTTACCATGTAAAGAATTTATTAATCTTTATGTTTGCTTGATGTTACTCAGGCTGCGACTTCCTCCATGGCTGAAGACAAAGATTCCCATGGGAAAGAACTATAATAAGCTAAAGAATACCTTGAGAAGTTTAAATCTTCATACGGTAAATCTAGACCAACCATGTTTTCCTATAGAAATAAGGCATTCTTTTAATGGTATGAAATTAGTCCTTTGTGGAAGACAATTAGAAACCTTATCGTATATGATTTTCAAGGCTGAAACCAAGCCCAGTGCTGATCCCCTTTTCCAGGGGTGAATTTTACGCATAGAGAATGAAGAAAAAACGTGTACAGAGTTTCATATTTTCCCTGCTGTGATTTAAATGTTAGGGTATGCTACTTGCATCCTCAAAGAGATCTGAAGATAGTATGTGTGACTGCCTTTAAAGGAATCAGATACACATAATTCCAGAATTATACACATGCTTTGCATGGTAAGAAATTCTAGAAGCGTACAGGTTTTATTAAAAATACCTCCCAGGTGGTAAAAAGTGGCGGGTATGCATAGGGTTTTTTCTTCTTTTGGGGAGAAAGATCATGCTTTGGTGCATCCTAGTTCTCGTGAATATTTGATCAACTTTTACTTTAAAATGTTAATGATGAAATATTCTTTGCTAATTAATAAGGCAGATACTCGGCTGAGGAGTTTTTGGAGTTGTAAAGTTGGGGAAAAGAATGGTAGAGGAATGAGCGTCAGGAAACATTGATTTTATTCCTAGCTCTACTGCTGACTTCTTATGTAAAAGCAGGTAACTCTGTTAACCTTCTCATTTATCACAGAAGGAGTTGTGTTTTATTTGTAAGCTACTGTTGAAATATGGCATATTAATGTCTTTTAACTTTAGGTATGTGAGGAAGCACGCTGCCCGAACATTGGAGAATGCTGGGGAGGTGGTGAATATGCTACAGCTACAGCTACTATTATGGTAAGACATTAACCATTTCTTAAGTATTCTGTAAACGTCTGAGCTGTTGGTAGCATATCTGGGTATGCAACAATCTCTGCTGTAGTTGTGCAGGTTTATTATATGAAAAGTACAGTGAATCACTGTCCTCATTTCTTTCCTGGGTATTGGGGTTTATCTGATTTAGCATTAAAAAAAAGTGATGTGTAAAATATAAAGGTAGGAATGTCTTTCTTGTTTCAGCTGATGGGTGACACGTGCACTAGAGGCTGCAGATTTTGTTCAGTGAAGACAGCAAAACATCCACCTCCACTAGATCCTGAGGAGCCTTACAATACGGCAAAAGCTATAGCTGAATGGGGCTTGGATTATGTTGTATTGACATCTGTGGACAGAGACGGTTAGTGTGTTGTCATTAATGTCTTCCGGTGTAAGTTCCCATAAGTTTTACATGGAATAACCATAGACTTTGACCAACATTCCTCACTCCATGGGATTATTTGAAGGAGTCAGCAGTGCTGAAACTGTGGGAAGGTTATACGTATTCGTAGCGTTCTCTGTGTCTGTTAAAATATAGCAGAAATTACAGTTAGGAAATATTCAAAATATTACAATAGTTTATTCAATATTCCTAAAAGCTTGTTTTCTTTTAGTAAAGCCAGGATTAATGTTGTGATTGAATGGTCTGGAAGAGCATTTTTATAACTTGTTTTTGGCAAAATTTATGCATATGTGGTACGTTCTATGATTTGATCAGGAAAAAAAGGCCTTGTTTATATGTAATGCCATTACAGAACTTCCTTCCAAAAAGTAGACCTGGAAGAGACTACACTTAACAAAAGAGTTTTTTTTCTGTTGGAAATGGTTGCAGTGGCTCCTTTGTGGTGATACTGCATGGGTGGGAAAAAGTGTTGCAAACACTGTTCAATACACTTCTGCTAAAAGTCCAGTAGCTTCAAAGTGGCTTACAATAATGATAATTAGATATATTTTTATTTTTATAGAATTGTCTCTGACATCAAAAACGTAAATAGATAAAGTCATTCTTTGTTCAGGCTGATAGTGAGCCCGCACAAACATAGAAATTCAGAGTAAGTGTTCAAAGTCTGCCTTAAATGATCCTATTCAGCCTGTGTGCAGAAAAAGTCTTGGTAGAATGTCTAATGTAAATCTTTGGCATGCTGGTAAGATAAGACTGGGCTTTCAGCTTTTGCCTAAAAATTGTAATACGAGTTTGGATTTGAATTTTACTCTGCAGCATTTTTGTGGCTTTGGTAATAAGTAAATACATTTCTTGAATAAGAAGTTAACTGAATGATTAATTGCTTCTAGATATGCCGGATGGTGGAGCAGAACACTTTGCAAAGACTGTCTCTCATCTGAAAGAAAGGTATATTATTAATGTTATAAAGTTATTATTAAAACTTCAGAATGTGGTACTGCATATAGGCCAAAACTAGCTTTAGCTGGATTACTCCAGCTGCCAGGCAAGTACAAAAGTCTGCCCTTTGCTTATTTATGCCCATTTTTCCTGTTTTTCAACCTTCCTGGTGTAATGCCCTCAAAAGTACTTTGAATTTGGATGCATTTTCAATTTAGCCCAAGCTTATTTCAAGCTGAGCACTGGCTTATTTCTTTGACCATGCCTCTAGTTTACCAGTACACGAGCACATACTTTTGAGGTATGTTATTCTTGAAGACTGGCGTTCAAACATGGCGGAGGTAGAAAACAATGTCACTGCATTACAAAGGTAGTTTGATTTCTCTTTCAGCAGCAATCAGTATTTTTTCTGCTGCGGCTGTTTTGAAGTCTTTAATTGTACCTTCTTCTTTCCCTTAGTTAAGCCTTTTTCATTCTCTGTATTGCTGCCCTGCATGCCTTCTAATAGCATGCTTGTCTTACCTGCCGATTTAATTCCCATAACTTCATTAGAGCCTTCATCTAGTGCTGAATTTTAGGACGCACGTTGAAAGGTTCCTGTGCAGATAAGCAGTTTTCCCATCTGCCCTTCTGAGCTGAAATCTGGCTACTGGACACCGGGATTCGTTTCCTGGGCAATACCACAGAGTATTCCTATCCCAGTAGACAGGAATATAGCTGCTTTATATTTCACAAGCCGTGACATTAAAAGCATGTTAAAAAATCTTGTTTTAATTAGCCTGCAACAAAGATGCACAGAAAAAGTCATATATGTGATTGTTCGACAGACTATAAGAATGGCTTTAATATTATCTTTCACTTTATAAATATTCAGCTCACTTCAGTAAAATCAGGAATTAAACGCATTGTTTTGTTTAAATTCTAATATTAGTATTTGCAGAAATACATGTTTTATACATGTATCCTGAATGAACTTTACTTTGCATATCTGAGCATTGTTAATTTAGTTACGTTTATTTTTTGCCATACTGAGCTTTGATTAAGTACAGATACTATAGAGCAATATTTTGTAACATTTGATTTTAGCAACAGTGATACAAATCCCACAGATGTTTTCATTTTCAGTCTCTGCTTTTCAGGAATTCCAAAATTCTAGTAGAATGCCTAACTCCTGATTTTCGAGGGGATCTTAAAGCTGTGGAGAAAGTAGCGTTGTCAGGACTAGATGTATATGCCCACAATGTGGAAACTGTTCCAGAACTACAGAGGTAAGCAAAGGTAATATGTATAAAGAGAAGGAAATATATAAATAAAAGAGATTTTCTAAAAGGAATTTTGTGAAAGGAATAGTCAGAGCCATTTATTTAAATCTGCATTACCGCTCTAGCTCCCACTCCCCTAAATTACTCTTCTAACTGGTGTTGATGATACTATAGTATCAGTAGTAATTCCTCTCTCTCTTATAACCAAATACCCACTAAAGGGAAAAAATGCTACAGCTCTATCTTACCCGAGTTTTTATATGTACTTTTCAAATCAAAGACTTGTCTTAAGAGGAGAATAAGCATACATTCTAATGGAGAGTAGTTTAATCCGTTTATAGTATAAAGTATTCTGCTTGAGAAACATCCTTCATTTTTAAACAGTAATATTTAACATAGACATTGGGTTGTCTTTTGGACAAAAGTTTACTTGCTCAACCAAACACTGTTCATTTTAAAATCTATGTTCACGTCACTTTTTAGCATTTTGGTTTTCTCTAATTGTAAGGGTGTGACCTGCTCAGCATCTTTAACTACTTTGCCATGAGAAAAACGCAGTTTTCTGCATTGCAGTCACAGCTATAAAATTCTCCTGACTCATTTTAATGCTGTTGGGGGGGGCAGAGCCTAAGACTGAGCAGTGAGTGCTTGAAAACGAGCTGAAAAAGTTTGGGGCTTTCGCTAAAGACGACAAACTTGGGAAAGAAAGATTTAAGCAAATGAAGAAATCGGTTGCAAACCAGACCTGAAACACAATTACATCCATTTCTGTTTTCGCTTCAGCTCACGACAGGTTCAGGTCGTGACTGTTAACTCTCACTGGCATCAACCACTTCCTCACTGCCCCAGGCCGCGGGGGGGTTGTAATTGGGAAAATTTGGGTAGATTTGAAAGGCTTTGACGTGTAGAAGGAGGGGGCCGCGGCCAGGGTCAGGCCGGGCCGGGCCGAGGAGCGGGCT